CATAAGGTCCCTCTCCTGCTAGCATCTCATAAGTTGCATTAAGTTCTCCTTGCTGTCTATTCAGGTGGTTTTGGCCAATTGAATTATAAAATCTTTAGTTACTACTAGTCAAAACTTTTGCAGATCAAAATTAACAGATGTCTTGTAGAATTAGGGTTAAAGGAATGAAAGCTCTTCTTGACTCTAAAACCTTTTATAACAGACTTAAAACCAACAAGCAAGCATAATTTCCATAAACATTCTCTACATACTTAGGTAAAGACAAGATTAACATTCAAAAACCTTTCATGTTAAAAGTACAACTCTTACTTATAGCTTTCCCAATATTTTTCTATCTCATTTGCTATTAACCTTCTACAACAAACTTCAGCTTAAAATGTCCTTTTTCTGCTTTTAAAGATTATTACATCTTAAAATTTGACTGGCTGCCAATAGAACAGTATTAATCTAAAAGAGCAAGTTAAACCTATAATCACAGTTTAATCATTTGCACAAGAAGTGTTACCAAAACTAGTTTTCACTAACAGCTGACTGTTGCAGAGCAGAAGTTTGAGCAACTCCCAGGCTGGAGCAAAAGAGGCCAAACAATGTAAGACAAAGACTTATGAAAACCAAACCGAAAGAAGAACCAGGGACTCTGTCGGGGAATCTCCTTAATCTCCTCTTCCGAAACCAGTACCAGAAGAACACTCTGACCAGAGGGTCTTGAGGAGGGGGAAAAAAATCAACCTCCCTCCCCATAAACAGAGAGACAAAGTTCCTACCAGAAGGGCAAAGGACCTCTCCGGCCCCTGCTGCGGGGAGTCCACTAGCACGTCTGCCTGGACCTCCCTCCCTGCCTCCAAAATGATCCGGATCACAAATTACCAATTCAGACATTAACAGGAAAAGAAAGACACTGAAGCAAAGAAAAGGAAACCAAGGACAAACTATTTCTACAAATTCTAATAAATTGCACAATTGCTGGTGCCCTACTCTAGCACCACCAACACACAATAAATCTTTAAGCACATATACAAAAAGCATGCAACTCTTGCCTGCTCCCATTTTTAATATTTACAAGAAAACTCACCGCTCCTCTTTTTGCCTTCCTTTTGAAGGTCCTCTTTTTTCTTTTTGACGAGATCTCCTTTTATTCTTTATCCAGCGGTGTCCTTCACTGAATCCCTCGATACTCAGGTCCCTGTTCTTCAAGTCCCTGTTCTTCAGGTTCCTGTTCCGGCGCCACTTGTGGCAGTCCAGCCGTCACAACACGTACACGCCTGAGTCCGGGAGCGAGGATTGAGAAAGGAAAGAACACTCAAGCCTGAGTGAAGACCAAGAGAAGTCTGATTTATTTCACAGAAACAGCTCCTTTTATAGGTTCACATCAACAGGAAGCACCAAGCAACTATTTGTATCTTTTATGCAAAGACCGGATTTTCTGACTCTTTTCAAAGAACATCAGATCTTTGGCTGTCTCCTTGAGTTTCTCCCATTGCAGCAACAAGTTTAACAAGCAGAGTCCTAGGATGTTACAGATTGTATCAATGCCTTGAGTGTAGAGGTGAAGAAGTTTCCTTTTAAATGTCAAACTCCTAGAGGGCCATGGCCGGGCTCCCACACAGAGCACAATTGGGTTATGCATAGCTAACCACCATATATAAAATGGCTACTACAGGAAAGGGATTTGGAGTTGCACATGACTTTTTAAAAAAAAGCCACTGGAACGCTGCCATCTGACGGGGCAATTGCTTGTGCAACTCTCTAATGAGAGAGGAAGTTACACTGATGTCTTTAGGGACTCTTTGGTTCATAGGACATAAATGATTCTAGTTTCTTTTTGTTTGAGAATTTTGTTATATTGCCTTTCTGTTATTCCAAAGATCAAATAATGTGTTGTTCTTTCTGGCCATGTCTTAAAGGTCTCTGACCAGCACATCTATTGATTCCTGTTGAGTCAAAGCAAAGGTTCAGTGTCCCACTTGCTTAGAAAAGTAAGAGAACAAGTAAAAGTTGAAAGGAAGTCTAATTTTAGTTTTATGGGGCTTTTTGATCATGAAAACCACTGAAGTGTATCTGAGAAAAGTACCTTCCTTTACTGAAGTTCAGAGTTAAATTTATTTAAATTCATATTATAAAATTGTACTTTATCTACTTTAGTATAAATGTGTGTGTGCATGCACATGTGCATATGAGAGAGACAGAGAAATGAATCGTGTTCCCTCAGTGAAGTTGAAAGTTAATTCTGAAACGATGCCATCCTTAAGTGAGCTCTAGCTTGTTTATAAGCTGGCTAGCCACAAAACCATATTTATCCTCGACGAGGGGTTGCTTAGCAAAACAATGCGATCAGCTTCTAGTACACAGAAATATTTCTATACTTCAAGCTTCTCCACTTCTTTCTTTTTCTCAATGTTGAGGCTCAAACCCAGGGCTTTGCTTTATCTTCAAGCTACATCCCCAACCCTGTAAGTTTTCTGAAAAAAGGAAAGAAAGAAACCAATCATGGTTTGAAAATAGCAAGAGGTGAAATAGGCTCTGCTAGTATGACTCTTCCACAACAAATATTTTTACATGTAAGAAATGTTCTACAGACATTTTAAGATCATTCCTAAGTTTGAGAATTTTGATAAAATCCAATAAACTTTTAGATTACAAAGTTGAGTACTTGTGTGCCAAGGGCTTCATATATGTTTTTTTTTTCCTTTAATTCTCACTGTTATAAATGGCGTCTGTGAGGCTACTTGGAGACAGGCTTTGAAAAATAGCTTTTTTTCCTTCCAGGTGTGAACAGAGACTGGAATGGAGAGCAGATTTCAGCAGCTAGACAGGAAGAACTAAATTTATTTCATCCATGTGTGGATGGGCTGACATTGAGAGAGAGAGATCAGGAGCTAGCTGGAAATGGAATTAGGTTTATATAGAAGTTGAAAAGGTGTCTAAGGTCATAAGGAATGTTTATGACTCAGGTCCAAGGATGGTCAGCACAGGTATGGACAACACTGGACTTCTCTATGCTGGGGAGATTATGTCCTTTTGTTTGTAGAGAATGGCATGTTTGCTTGTGAAGGTTTCATTCAAGCCAGCCATGACATTCACTAAAGCCCTTAGAGAAAGGGATGGTTGTTTGTATTTTACAAATTAGGAAATTAAAACAGAGATTAAGGAAATTGCTTAAACGTTCACAGCTTCTAAATGGCAAAGAAGATAGTTGAATTCAGGTCCACATTACTCAGCTCCAAGATCTCAACTACTCTGCTGCTTCCTAAGTGGGGAATTCCTACTACTATCACCATTAAACCTTGGCCATTATTACCACAGATTGCCTGGGGGCATCTTTATAGTATAACACTATATACAACGCTCTTCCAAAAGTTTTCTCTGTAAGAAGGCCACTTACTTGAGGAAGGTGTTCTTAAATACCATATTATAAGCAGTTAAAAAAAAATCAACCTTAAAATTAAAATAATACATACTTTTGTAAAATATGAATACAGAACAGCTACAATGTCTTATAGCTATGCATAAAGAACATCTATAATGTCTTATAGGGATATATGTACCCTGCTTGGGATGAAGGCACGCAAAATGGACAGGGAGGGAATGTCCATGTACATTCCTGCACACACACATACTCACCATTGTGGTACCATGTGTGAGAGAGAGATAGAGACAGACAGAGGCACAGACAGACAGAGAAAGGAGGAGGAGGAGGAGGAGGCTGAGTTTTGTGCTAGTCCCCCTCTATCCTTGTACAGAAGCTTGTTAATATTGGGAGACTCAAGCCTAGCATACTGAGCCAGATCATTACACACACATGCCCCTCTTCTTGCTGTGGCTCAGTCTTGGGTGACAGCACTCCTGTCCCCCAGGCTAGCCAGTAAATCTCTAAAGATTTACCTTTCCTCCCGACAGATGAGCCATGCCTATCAGGACTGCAAAGGTACCCTTATTACCCCTCCTCTAAGAAATAGATGATAGGTTCTCTCATGTCTCCTAAAAATGCAGTGTGCTAGAAATGCAATCAGTTTGTAGCCATCAGCCCTTCTCCCAAAGTTCTGGACATTCATGACACAATATGGTTGATTTCTGGGAGTTCTGTTAATTTGCCTGTAAATTTTTTGGATGGATAAATCGAGATGGACTTGGATTCCCACCGCAGCTGCCAGCCCCAGCATCTGTGAAAGTGAAGTCTGTACCTCCATCTCACCTTCAGCTGATTGGGAAGATCCTCAGGAACTTATCCTTGTTCTGAGTTTTCTTCTCTAACTTCACATACCCTAAGCTCGAGGACTAAAGTGAAGCAAAACCGTTGCCTTATCAGGGAAACAAAATAGGTTGCACTGAATCTCGTAGCTCATGACAAGATTTCTTCTTGTCTGGAGGTATAGATTGTTTTAGTTAGGGTGGAAGTTAGATTCCAAATGGTCAGAACTAGAACAGTGCATGCCATGTAGCATCAGGAGGTCAGATGGGCCAACTGAGTCAGAATCTATTAAAGAAAGCTTTCATTGAAGAGCTAACACATAATCCAAAGGCCAGAGGTTTGGCTCAAAGAACCAGAACTTGAGAATCAGGAAAATGGGAATTCAGTTTATAAGAAGGTAGGGAACAACTGAAGATGTCCAAGTACAGTTCTATAAAGAACCCAGTCGGGGATTTAGCTCACTGGTTCCAGCACCTGCCTCGCAAGTGCAACTACCTGAGTTCCATCCCAGGTACCAAAAAAAAAAAAAAAAAAAAAAAAAAAAAAAAAAAAGAGAGAGAGAGAACACAGGATATTCATAGGGCAAATAAACTATGAAAACAAAGTCTGTCTGGACAGATGGACAGATTTGTCAGCCTCATGGCAAAGAATGAAGCTTTTTATATCCTCTCTCAGGTTAGTTGGAACAGGTCTTGTTTCCATCCTTAAGCCTATGGGTGTGCAGCAGTGAATCATAGCATAGAAAAGCTCCTTCCTTGGGGCTATTATGTGACACTGGCTGTATCCTCATACTTTGACCTACTGCAACCCCTGCTTGACAACAGACTACATGAAATCTCATTCACTTCCTGACCTTCTTTCAGAAGGTCTTCCTTCCTGTTTGTTCCAAAGCTTTGAATGAATATACAGACATATATATTCCTGTAGTACTGAGGATTGACGTGAAAGCCTTTGTGCTGAGCTAAATTCCCACCATTTTAATTTTTTTAATTTTTGAGAATGGGTATCACTAAATTATGAAGGCTGGGCTTGAACTTGTGATCCTCCTGCCTTAGCTTCCCAGAGTGCTGGAATTACAGACATGGACCACCACACTTAGCTTACATACATGTTTTATACAATGTCCCAAGTTAGTTCCCATTTAAAGTGCTGTGGATAGAAATGTAGCCTTACTGAAGAAAAACCATACTAATAAAACAAAAATACAAAATAATAGACTCTGGGGCCTGGCTCATCAATCTTACTCTCACTACTATGGATGGCCTCCCATGTTTACTTCCAGCCAGCTTTACTAGTTTTTTGTTCTTTGATCACGTCAAGCTCTGGTACCCATTTAGCCCTCCGCAGTAAATCCCCTCCTCTCAGGATGAGGTCCATAATCCAGAGGACATTCTTATCAGGATCCAGTATCTCCTGTTTCTTCTAGAGTACAGTTAGGATGCTCTGCTGAAGTAGACACAAGACTGTTCTAGGGCTTGCAAGGACCTCTTCTCTCAGGCTATTCTTGAGGAAACAATCTTCCTGGCATGTACATCTCTAGACTGTGCTATATAGCAAATTATGGAATATAGTGAAATATAAAATGAATATTGGACAGAGAAATAAACTTACCCAACATGTTTGGCTAGTTCTACCTAAGAAAAAAGCGTTAAAGGCAATATGTACCTCCATCTGTGCAAAGAAGTTTAACTCATTAAAGCATTAAACCAGAAATCCTGCAAATCTCAGAACTCAAGTTTTTCCCCAAAGGTCTTTATTCTTGCCTTTCTATTAAAAGTCCAGGGTCCTGCTCTAGGTCTTCTAATTCTGTATACCCATTGCTTCAGGATTAAACTTAAGGACTGCTTAAGGGTTAAACTCAGTATTTCACAAACTGGCTGCTAACTAAAGCTACAACAGAAATTTTATCATTGATGGTCTCCTTAAAATATTTTCTAAGTCACAATACAAGATTTGAAAAATTATTATTTGCTATCTTTTTTTGGAGGGGGGTACTGGGGATCGCATTCAGGACCTTGTGCTTGCGAGGCAGGCAGCAGAACCACTGAGCTAAATCCCTGGCCCTATTATTTGCTAGCTTAGAAAGAGTTGCTCATGAACACTGGTTTGCTGACACA